AAGTCAGAGAGAGCTTGTTCAGGCTTTGGGAGCAAGAACAAATGGTGGTTTAGATCTGATGTGGAATATAAAGAAAAGACAGTGAGAGGATTTGAAGAGGGACTCAGGATGACTAAAGCAGAAAGCAAAGTATTCACTTTTTGGTTTGGGTAATCTGGATGAACTTTTTTCAGGGTGCTGCGGCCCTGGGGTCCTGCCCTATCTTTTGAAGGGTGTTGTGAGGCAATATGTGAGTTTTTAGGAGATGTAGATAAGCACAGGCTCAGGCCTGTCCCTGCTTATATGAACCCGCATCCCCACTTCCAAGGCTCTCTGCAAGGAAGTAAGCTCTATAATCATTAAATTAGTTTTTAAAAGTTAGGAGGGGTGCCTCAAATCCAGAAAGGTTGAAAACCACAGGTTTACTTTATACATCACACAATGCATTGCTGTTTTCTCTCATTTCCCTTTGTATGGGGTCAGTTCCTGTGTTCCAATAGAAGCATTCTTTTTAAATGTTACAGGCCCCTGCTACGCATTAAATACATTGCACAATTAACTGGTGACTAACACTATAGCTGGTTTCTATCCAGCTTTAATTTAAACATGTAGTGGGGACTACACAGACCTTTCTAAGGAGTACTTCAAAAGGAAATGCAAACTTACATCTTGCAACCTTGCAGCATGAGAGGGTAAGGGGAAAAGTCTCTGTGCTCAAATCTTGTGGAGTATGGTCAAGCACTAGGACTAACACGTAACAATAAAAGCTTTGAGCTAAATTGGTCATTTACTATGTGATGCATTTGCAAGCAGGGGATGTTTGGTCCTGAGGAAACATAGTAGCAGCTTCCTTTCTAAATTAGGTAGATAAGCTGATTGTGGAGAGCTGGGGAAATGGAGTATTGTAATAGACAAGTTTTGCTGCCTGAAACAGTAAAGGGAAAGTCTTCTATTCAGTTTATCAGCTGACTTCTTCAGTCCATTGGCTTTATATCATATGGTGTTCTCATTTTAGAAACAAAACATTGAAAGTCCTTTTTATCAAAAGGCTTATTTTTGCTGTTCCTGTATTACTTTAAATTGAGTATTGCCATATAAACTGTAAAATCAAAAATGAGATTATCTTCTATACTGGTTTTTTACTGTTTTGAATTAATAATATTTAGTATGTTGTACTGTTTCACATTAACTACTAAGCAAGCAAAGAAAATTAAACATCTTTGTCAAGCTATATATTTCTTTGTTGTGTATGTGGAGAGCCATGGACTTAAGGATGGTTTGTTTTTGATGCTACAGACCCATGTATATACAGTTCAGGGTTGGAAGACTTCTGTTTCTTAAAACATTTCTAATTGTTTACATTAATGATTTTTTTATTCTGCTACACATACTAGGGATTCATGCAGTTTGACATTCACTTGTATCAAGGACTCAGTGATCCTTGTCTTATCAGTTTTCTGGTTTTATTCCACTGTTTTGGTCCCCAGACTTTTATTTTCAGTGATATGGTCCAGCCTTACACAAAAAGGGAGGAGTACTGTAAATAAACCTGTTTAGCATACTCCTGTCATTCAGATTTTATTAAGATTGTTAAAGGATTTGAAATACTGCATATTTTACTGGAACAGTTTTAAAGCATGCCCTATTGTTACATTTGAGAAATTTAGGGACATTTTTAACAATAAAACTTTTGTCTCTATGAATGGATTTGAAGTCATAATTCATCACAAATGAAAATATGTAATTTTGTAATCCTAACAAAATGAGTTGCTGGCTGATTTTTATAAAACCAAAATGTTAAATTCCCTGGGCTTTCCCCCTTATTTATGCTTTCATGTACTTCTATTCCAGTTGGGGGAATACTAGAATATAAAACTGTAAAATAATGTTTATGTATTAACAGTTTATTTATAAAGATGAATACATTTAGGCTTTATAAGCTGTGCTTCATTACATTTTAATGTGTTTGATGCATTTTTTTTCCAGAAACTCTAGAAAGGAACTTAATGACATACGATTTGAGTTTACTCCAGGCAGAGGTAAGGCTTTTCTTTAATTGAAATTATTCTTATATTGCTCAAAAGGGTATTTCAA